GCGTCTCCATATAAATCTCTATAAATTTGGGTAAAAAATTTCTCCGCATATCTCGCATAAGAAAAATTGCTGTGACCAGAATTTTGGCGAGAGCCTTCGCATATTTACCTTCTTTCATTTCCCAGATTGTGGACTTTATCTATTGACCTGTTTTGATTTTGATTTTGATCTATTTTGAATTGCGTGACACTGAAAACCAGCAACTGGAGCTAAAAGTGAATTTTTTATGTATGCAAATACACTTTTTCTTTTTTATAAGAATATGTTTTGTAAGAATATCGAGGCTGAAATTTGCAAAATTTTAAACACATTTTAAGAATAAACCCCGAGGCTGCGATTTTGAAAAGAATACAATTTTGTGTGTTGAAAATTTGTAAATACTATACAATTATATGTTTTTAACCAAACCGTATAAAATTCTTCCTGTCTCTAAATAGCAAAACCAGCCTAAAAGCAACAAAAACGGTCAGTACTAGCCGTATGGTGGATGCTGATAACATTTCTGCAAGAAGTTATGGGCGGCTTCAATGGTCTGCAAGCTGGCTCCAAAATTACTTTAATAACACCATCCGTCACCAAATACATGTATTCGAAAACAGAAATGTCATACGCTATAATCTAAGAATATTCACAAGAACATTTTCAGCTTAAAATCGGCAGAAAATTAAGAATATTCAGCCTCGGCTGGAAAAACAATATCNATTCGAAAACAGAAATGTCATACGCTATAATCTAAGAATATTCACAAGAACATTTTCAGCTTAAAATCGGCAGAAAATTAAGAATATTCAGCCTCGGCTGGAAAAACAATATCGTTATAAGAGAGGATTGTACTTGTTTTAAGATAATTTTCAGAGGTAAATATCGAACCACGAAATAACGAACTTCAACACCGAAACACGGATTCACTTGTTCGTTCATACATGTAGGCAGATGTACTTTTAAAGCGTGCATGTTAATCGATTTTGAATCAATTTACACATCGAGTGAGTTGGGGAGTATAAAAAACAAGCGAAACTTAATTACGGTACCTTAGTTTTTATATCGTTGTTGACTTCATTCACAGTTGTACCCATCGTCCAAAAGAAGGAGCAGGTCCAGTTTGAAGTAGAAATAATTTTCGGTCACTTGATCTGACGTACGTGGCGATCTAAAACTCCACTGCGTTTACGATTCTTTATAATTATATGCCATGAATGCGAGTTCTTGACAACATTTTTGGTGCAAGGGTGATAGACGCCTGGGGATAGCCATCACTTAGAAAATTAAATATCCTAAATATTCTTTTTCTTTGGCCATCAGTAGCTTTATAAGGAATAACAAACAGACTGCAGTGACAAACATGACGATAAAACGCACGTTGGAAAACAAAATTCATTTAACCTGACGTGTCGTATGTTTCGACTTACATCTTGAGAATCGATTGAGAAGTGACCGTTTAGAATAGAAGTAACAACTAATTTTTAAATTTAAGATAAGTAACTAACTAACAATAACAATGATGGAGGCTGAGGAAAATTTGCATATTAAAAGATGCGAACTAATAAAGATAAAGCTTTTCGCTGCTAACATTATGGTTTAGAGTAGGTTTCAGTTCCCCAATTAGTACAGTCAGCTTTATCTTAAGTTGTGACCTGTTGACGTGACGTGGTCTGGGATAGCAGATGCATGACAGTTACTCGTGATCGCTTTGAATATCCTAGAATTAGAGTGATGTCTTTCGATTAAATGGCAATTTTATTCAGCAAGTGTCCACATGTTTACCAAGCTTAGAAATGTTTATATATAAAGCATTAGCATAGGGCGAGGTTTTCTACCAATCAGAATGTCCGATTCTTTTATTCACTTCTGGAATGACCAGGAATAGAAAAAGGGTACCTACCATTTGTCAGAATAAACCAGTTAACCGTTGAATAATGGTAAGGGTTTTTCTAAAATCAGCAAACCAGCCTAACGAGATCATGGCGCTTACCATTTACAGTTCGCTTTTCCTGATGAGAAACTGGAAACTGGAAAAATTTTAGTCGCTAATTTCCAAACGGATAACTGTTCCATTTGACTTGCAACAAATAGCTTAATATTGTTAAGTCCTGAAGGAAATACCGTGTCCAACTGAAGATTTTACCTTACCTTACCTAACCGGAATTTCCGGTGGTGGGGGACGGACCATTAGAAACGTGATTGGTTTGGCAGACGGTCGGGAAAAAAAAATTCGAGCAAGGGAAAATGGCACGAAAAAAAATTTGTACAAAGAAAAACCCAAAGGAAAAAATTCACGCAGAAGAAGGATCTCATTTTGGTATCAAAACAGTCTTATTATATTTCAGCCAAATTACAACGTGCTCAAAACGGTGGTGTTTAAAATATTGACAAATTTCTGAATGTTCTGTCACTGGATTCCACTTATATAAAGCCACTGTGTTTGGTTTGAGTCTCATACTTTTGTCAACTCTTCGATCTCAACTATTCACAACTTTTGATATATTTTGATCATTCAGTCAAATCTAAATAGGTCGCAATGTCTTGGAGTCGCTTTCTCTGGACCGTCCCACCAAGCGAAGAAAGATCACTGCATAGAGGCCCAGAGCAAACAAGCCACGCAGAGGTAGATATGGCAGAAAGCAGATTTAAAAAAATTCGTGCAAAGGGCTGCAGTTGAAAAAAACATAACTTGCACGGTCAACGGGCAAAAAAATAAGAAATCCACCCCAATCATTTGTCTCTAAGCACCCGTGCCCTCAGTGGGGAAACTGGTAATGAATCAACTTTTGACCAATCAGGGCACAGCACAATCTCATGGAAATTGTGCGAAGAATCAGCCGGAAGGAAGTCCTTAGAAAGATGAGAATGCAACGGTGATCTTCGTGTTCGTTTCGCCGATCAGTTCTCTTTTGTTTAAGGGAATCTGTCGAACAAGAAACTGACTTTGTTTAGGAGTTGATCAATACTTCGTTTGGATTCCGTAACTAGGCATTTTGCCCGGTTAATATACAGGTATTGTAACCGAAGTTTAGTAGCTTTGTTTTGATCGATCAATCTGTAGTCGGTTCAATTCATTTTGTTTTGGTTGGTCTTTCTTTTCTCGTCCTTTTCCTCAAAATGTTACATATTATTTCTAGCTGATCCTTTGACTGTTGTGTAGTTCCATTCAGAATATTTACAGTCTTTCTGACGGGCTAAGTTAATTTTTTTGTCTTGAATTTCCAAACCCCGTGAAGACTAATGATCGCCCACGATTTGGCAGCTGTTTTCGCTAAATACGTCGGTTAATTTATTTTTTTACTCGAAAAAGGCTCATATCAAAGATTCTTTAAACTTATAGGGTCGTATAGAATGTTCATTTGTGATGGAAATGTTAAATTTTCCTTTTGATCACAGTCGAATTCATTCAGATTGCTAAATATTCAATATTTCAATATTCAAAATGGCAAGACAAGCGCGCTAATCATATGTAGGCTCATTTATATACATTTCTTTTCTCATGCAAAGTTTGACACTATGCTATTTTTTCTCATCTTGGTGCTCTTCTGACTAAGGACCTGTTTACATAGAGAGAGGATTATTGCCTTGACTAACCCAGAGTTACCTGGGTAACCAAGCTAGTGTTTACACATGCTAATCAGTGTATTCTGGATGTCTGGAAAACCTGAAGAGCAAATAGCAAATAGCCAATAGTTGTGTATGGCGAATAGTCTCGAATAGCGAATAGTCAATAGTATGAATAGTGCGAATAGCCTCAAATAGGGGCGAATAGTGGCAAATTGTGGCAAACAGTGGCAAATGGTGGCAAATAGGGGTGGGAATAGTGACGAACTACAGGACTGTGGTATCCAGTACCTCACAGTCAACCCCACAGTAAGGTGGAAATGGATTTATGCCGCTAAAAAGCATGGACACTTATCGTGTTTCTTAATGTAATTTCTTCTGTTGTTACCACTGCAAAAGTATAATTACATCTTTATGAACTGCGGTGGTAGATGAAAGTGAAGAATGATCATCGCAGTAAATTTTCCAATTTAAGCAATTGGAAGAATTTGCAGTTGCAGTTCATATATGAATTATTTCATATAAACTTCACATCATTTCACTTCTCACGGGAAGATATGAACTCAATAAATTGACCTCGCTCCCAATGTGTGG